ATATAAGGGCCAGATTTACTTGTTACCCTTGTTAGTTGCAGATTACACAGGGAAACCAACCTTGCTTGGGAGGGATTGGCTTACTCGTGTTAAGTTGGATTGGGAGAAAATCTTCCAGATTAGAAGCCCAGAACCTCATGGAAACACAAATCAGCTTCACGACTTAATTTCAAAGCACAAGGTTCTCTTTGAGGAAAGTTACAAAGATCTTCAGGGTTTGGAGGCCCATATAACTATTAAAAAAGTAGCAAAACCTGTTTTCTTTAAACCCAGAAAGGTGCCATAATTATTTCTTAAAAGATGCAGTTGAAAGTGAGTTAGATAAGCTGGAGAAGAATGGAATCATAAAGAAGGTTGAGAGGTCACAGTGGGCAAGCCCAATAGTGGTAGTACCCAAAGCTGACAAATCAGTCAGAATATGCGGTGATTATAAGGTCACTAGAAACCAGTCAGCAGAGGATGAACCAGACCCTCTTCAAACCACACAGGACTTGTACACTGCCCTTAGTAGCTCCAAAGTTTTTAGTAAACTTGATTTGTCGCTCAACTTAGTGTTGACAAAAAAAGCCAAGAATACCTTACTATAAATACGCACAAGGGGCTGTATTCTTACACTAAGCTTCCTTATGGGGTTAAGTCCTCCCCAAAACTCTTCTGGGAAAAAATGGACTTCATATTACTGGAAGTAGAAAAGTGGGTTTGTAAGCAAGATGATATTCTGATAGGTGGTTCAGATTCTCAGGAAAATCTGAGAATCCTTTCAGAGGTGTTGGAACGGCTGCACAAATATAATGTACACTTGAAGCTGTCCAAGTGTGAATTTCTGAAAACAGATGTAGTTTATCTTGGTCTACGAATAAGTGAAGCTGGACTGTAGCCAGTCAAAGAAAAACTTGAAGCAGTTAGAAAAGCACCAGTACCCCGTGGCATCAGTGAGTTGAGCTCACTCCTGGGAATGATCCAATATTACCATTCCTTTCTTCCAAACCTAGTGAGTACTCTAGCACCCCTTCATGATCTTTTGAAGAAGGGAAAGGCATGGGTTTGGACTGCTGAGTGCCAAAAGGCCTAAGATGCCTGTAAAGAAGGCATCATAGGCCTTACATAGGCCTTACAAGTGACTCTCTGCTAGTTCACTATGATGTCACTAGAGAGCTTAGGCTGGCCTGTGATGCCTCCAGTTATGGGCTTGGAGCTGTCATTAGTCATGTGATGGATGACGGCAGGGAAAGGCTCACATGGCTCGACACTAACAGTAGCCCACTAGCCACAGACTAGTAGAAATTCAGTTTTGGCTAGTGGTTTTCAATTTCCACTGGCCAGTTTGGCTAGTAAACAGACTGGAATTGTTGTAACATCTAAAGGCATCTGATATGTCACTAGCCACTTGGCTAGTAAGTTGAAAAGTTAGTGTCGAGTCCTGGCCCATAGCTTGTGCCTCAAGAACTTTAACACCTAGTGAAAAGAATTACGCCCAGATTGAGTGTGAGGCATTGTCTATCATCTATCGGGTAAAGAAGTTTCATCAATTGTTGTATCGTGAGAAGTTTAGTTTGGTCACTGATCACAGACCTCTGCTGTCAATTCTTGGACCAAAGTCGGCCATTCCCACATTAGCTGCAGCCTGGATGCAGCGGTGGACCCTAGTTCTGTCAGCATATGACTATGAGATTGTATTCAAACGATCTGAAAATCATGCTAACTGTGATGCATTGTCACGACTGCCACACAAAGGCTCTGATCTAGCTAGTGAAGCTTCAATTTATCGTGTAAGTGCTGTTGATGATGATTTTCCCATTTTAGCAAAAGATATTGCTAGAGAAACCCAATATGATCCTGCAATGAGCAAGGTCTTTCATTTTGTTATGTCTGGATGGCCAGGCCAGTCAGATGTGAGGATAAAATGCTAAAACCTTATCACAATCGTAGGCTAGAGTTGTCCTGTGAGCAAAGTTGCATTGTTTGGGGTTCAAAAGTAATCATCCCACCTTCTCTAAGAGTCAAGATGTTGAAGGAGTTGCATTAGGAGCACCCTGCTATTTGTGGGATGAAGGCAATGTGTGTGGTGGCCTAAAATGGATGAGGAAATAGAGGATGTAGTGAGGTCTTTGGGGCAGGAAACTTGGCCTGTCCGAACGTCCGAGACGGGTAACTTTTCCATTCGGATGAGGAAAAAGGTGATCGAAGTTATCCGATTGGACAAGTAAGTTGTAGAGCTCTGACGTTGCCTGACTTTGGATGAATAATAAATCATTTTTTCCCATATTTTATAACTAAGTGCCTTGAAAATAAACTTTCTCTTCTTTTTGTGGAAGTTGGTGACGCTTAGCGAAGAAATCAAAGACAAATTTATTTCCATGCGATCCTTGCTTTACAGCGACCTGAATCGCTTGAGTATCGGCAATGTCTCAATCAAAATTGTTTAAATTTTTGAAAAGATCACAGAAGCACTTAGGAACGTCAATACAGACAAGGATGTTCCTTCCAAAAGGAAAAAGATTGAAAATAACAAAAAAAAATATGAAACCAAGCGTGTAAGAAAATTTCAGTCCGCTTCGATGACATAATTCGACTGGGTTTGTTATGAGCTAAGAAAATAAAAATGCACTGCTCCACTTGTCGGAAGTTTCCAGAATTAGCAGATAAAAGCAGCCCGATGTATATTGGATGTGGGGATGGAGTTCAAAGATTTAGATGAGAAACTTTAACTGCCCATTCAAAAAGTCATCAACATGTTGTTTGCCATACGAGACTGCTGAATGACCAGAAACGGGAAGACAGCCCATTGCAAAAGATGTTTTCGCGAATACGCCAGGAATCACATGACCACTTGACATACACCGACAGAAGTATGAAAAGAATATAACTTTATTCAATTTGTTGCATTGAATGTTTTTATTGACTAATTAGCTTTTCACTTAACTGGGACATGGTTGAGATAAAATAAGGATTTTTGAAACCCTAGATTGCTGTTACCGATTTTTGGGAAAAGTAGTTTTGTGGTCCGGACAAGCAAAATACACACAACACTTGTCTGAAGGGACAAGTGAATTGAAAAGAAAGTTTCCTGCCCTGGTCTTGTACAGTGTGTCAGAGCACTAGGAGCTCTCTGCCATGTGCACCTTTAATTCCATGGAAATGGCCAAGTAAACCATTCCAGAGAATTCATGTCGATTTCTGTCAAAAGGAAGCTGACTACTTCCTTGTAGTTGTTGATAGCCGCTCCAAGTGGATAGAGGTCAAACATATTACCTCAACCACCGCTGATAAAACAATTGATGAGCTACGGTTGATTTTTGCAGCTCATGATTTACCAGAAGAGCTAGTCTCTGACAACGGTCCTCAATTTGTGTCCCATGAGTTTTCTGAGTTTATGCGTAAGAATGGAATAAATCACACTTTGGTCCCTCCCTATCATCCACCATCCAATGGGGCAGCTGAGAGGTCTGTGAGAGTGTTGAAAGAAGCATTGATAAAGCAAGTATTGGAGGAGACCAAGGGAATATCCATGAAGCATAGATTGGCAAACTTTTTGTTTAGGTATCGCACAACTCCTCACAGCACGACTGGTGTGACCCCAGCAGAACTTATAGATAAACGTAAATTGAGGACAAGGCTAGGCTTAGGTAAACCTGATCTAGATCAAGCTGTTCAACACAAGCAAACTAAGCAAACAGTTTATAAGGATCCTAAAGTTGATACAGAGAGATTTTTCCAAGAAAATGACAGAGTGCATGTA